TCTTGTGCGTACCCTCATGCTCTTGCACACACACCCACGCTGAGCACAAGCGATCCTCCTCTCCTGATCGCAACAGCATGCAGCTCCTTGTGTACACGTGTGTGCAGGGCAGTCCACTGCATTTCCAGCATGGGACCTGGACCCCAAGGCAGCAATGAGACAGGGTGACTCAAGCTTGTCCAGGAATGAAGCAAGGGCCCCACAAGTGGCCCCAGTCCAGAAAGGACACAGACATCCATGGGTCTCACTGGACGAGCACAGCACAGATGCTTGGCTGTACACAACAGCTTGCTCTGCTAATCTAAGCATCCGCAATGAGCCAGCCCCATGCTGCCACCTCTGCCCCAAGCCAGCCTGCCCGGGGCCTTGAAACTTCTGCTCTGCTCAGCCCTGCTAGCAATAGCGCCACAGCTGCCAGCTCTTTCCCAAGCCCAGTGCTGAGGGAGCCCAGCCCGGCCAAGATCTTGAGGCATCTTTACTCCCAGTCTGTGCACCCTGCATGTGAGCAGTCCATGTTGTGCCCATGTTGTCAGTCCCGCTCTGGCCCGGTCACAGCTGCAAAGCCACAGCTACCTTGCGCTAATTAAAAACATCCCTCGTTGGAAAGAGCCAAAGGGCTGCTTCCTCCCCGCTGCACCGGGCTGGCGCGGGTTTGAGGGATGCCGTCCCCGCCCTGCAAAACGTGCAACCCACCACCGCCTTCGCCCTTGGCCAGACCGCCGCAGCTCCACTCCCCAGAGCTTATTTTTAGCACCTGTTAAAAAGGAGAGGCAGGGCACTGGAGGCAGGCAGCATGCAGGCAGATGCCCAGCTGGACCTTGGGGTGGCAATTGCCAGTGGCTCCAGCGGGTGCCCCAGATGCCCTCCACCTGCCCCGCTGGCCCATGTCCCCTTGCAAGAGGGGAACAGGCGCCTGGCCCCCATCCCAGCCCCGGTGGGGAACAATAAGAGGGATGCTGACCCCTGAGTGCCCTGACGTCAGCCGGCACCGCTGCCGGCACCACCGCCAGCCCTGGCCCCGGGGCTCCCGCTCGCCCTCGGCCGGGGCCGTGCTGGAAGCTGCCTGTTTGTTTATCTTCCTCTCCGGCGTTGCTTATTTTGATGGCACATCCTCCTCCTCCTCGCTGGGCCCCGGGGTCGAGCCGTGAACCCGCCGCGTCCTGTTTGCTGAGGTCCTGCGTTCATCTTGTGGAGGTGTGGACCAGCCGTCCCTGCGCACACTGGCCATGGCAGATAAAAATACCCAGAGCAAAGCATCCTGGGGTGCGGGAGCTATATTTGCATTGATGGTATTGGTGAGCTTGTCCCCAGCGTACCTGTCCCTCCCCTCCCCAGGGCAGGGGGCACAGTACTGCATGGACACCCTGACCCTGCCCTCCTTGTAGAGCTGGACCACAGGCTTTGGAAAAAGCTGTCATGAAACACTGACCATAGCCAGGATGGCGCAAGCTCTCAAAACTCATGGGTGGGCAACCCACACTGGCCCATGGGGTCATCTCTGAAGCCCAAAGGGACACCTGGGGACAAAACACCCCCAACCCGCTGTGTCCTAGGCTGCTGGGAAGGGTGCCGGGGCAGCCTTGAGGTGCCGAGCCGTCTCCAGCCGCCTGCTCTTTCCCCTCACGGCATGAACCCCTGGGCTTGCCAATAAAAGCTGCCAGCTTTGCCTCAGCTTGCACGCGGCCACCGCTCTCCCTCCAGCTCTGCCCAAGCCCAGGCAGCTGCTCAGCAGTGAAACCTTGCCAAAAACTGCGTGTGTGAAAGCGTCGTTTCCTAAACGTATAAATATTCCCAGGGCTTTGCTGGAAGACTCCCCATGATTAGTTAAAATGCCCTGGACAGCCGAGTGCACACAGGCGCAGGGAAAGGGCATATTTAAGCTGAGAGGCTCTGCAGCTCTGTCCTGGGGGACTGGCAGGTCCTTTCCTCTCCACAGGGGATGCAGCAAAGGTCTGGGAAGCGAGCAAAGCTGTGGAATGCTTTCCCGCATCCCATCAGCCTTGTGCCACACCATCACAATCCCTTTCTAGCCAGGAGGTGCGTACCACTACCAAACATCCACAACCTGAAGCCCTGTTTCCCAGAGGGATAGGCTGGAAGGACCATCAGACCTCTCCTCCTGCCCTCCTGCCTACTGACATTCAACCACGCACATCCTAAGACCGAACCCAACAACTTGGTTTACTTCCAGACAGGCTCCCAGCCCACTTTTGGAGACATCAAGAGATGGAAGATCAACCACTGCCCTTGGGAGCATGCTTCAATCGCTAATCACCCGCAGGAGCAAACCCAAGTGCCTCTGTCCTAGCTTAAAATTGCCTGGCTCTGGCTCACGGTTCCTGGCTCGTGCTTCACTGCTCTCCACGAGATTAAAGAGAGCCCTTCACTAACCAGCATCTTCTCCTTGTAAAGACCCTCACGCACTATAATCAAGGCACCTCTCAATTTTCTCTCTGATAAGCTAGACGGAGCTCTTCCCTTCCAAGTCTCTCAATGCCAGGCTCTCTCCCCAGCCCTCAATTCATTCCTGTGACTCTCCGCTGATTGTCCGGCGTCTTTTTGAAAGCCCAGACACAGGAGTCTGTTGCAGGGTTCCCGGCTCCCTGATGCATGTCCCAAGGGACCCCAGACCCTTGAGCTGCTCTTTTTTAGAACTGACAGATGGAATACTAAGTTGCCTAAAATACCTGCCCAGAGACAACAAGATCGTTCAGCCCACCCTTCTGCTGCAGGAAGAGAGGGGAGACTGGGTTGAAGCGACAGTTTTGGTGGCAGAGAGCTGCTAAGCGTGTTTGGTGTTCCTCACTAACACAAGACCTCAAAGGCATCAGGAGGAGTGACAGGATACCATGTTCAAACCAAAGGCAGCAGCTGCTCACATCTCACAGTTCATTGCTGCAGGATGGTACATGGGCCAAAAGCATCAGCAGCAGGTTTATAAAGAAATGGGATGAACATAGAGAAGACGGATTCCCCCAGTCAGCCTGAACACACAACTGCATCCCTCCACCAGCCTCTCCCCAGTGGCTGGTGCTCAGACCTGGCTGCCAGGGGATGTAGAGGGGGAGCATCTCCCAAACCCGCCCATTCCCGCTCCAGTGCTCTGGCTCCAAGATGCTGCTCCTGGACTGTTCTCAGGACACATAGCACCAACTGCCCTATCAACTTTTAAGTCTCTGCCAGATGAGCTTCCCACCAGCTGCTTTTGCAAGGCTCTGTGCAGGGCTGCATCACTCCCCTCCTGCCCACTCTGAATCACTAAGCACCTTGCCCCATGCCCTACACCTTACCAGCTCTTGGAAGACTCTGAATTTCAAGCCTGACATTCATGTTTAGCAGATGTTGTTCAGTTGACCTTTGGACAAAGACACACTTCATCACCCCCTGATCCTGGCACATCTGCCTACACCCTTCCAGCAACAGCACCAAAACATTTACTGGCTGCTTCTGCCATGTCTGTTCCAGTATCAATCATTTTACCACCTCCATCTACTAACAAGCTTATCCCGTTGCTGGGAGTTTGGGGTTTTCTCCTACTACACTAAATAAAACCCTTTCCTTCTGTCCTCCACCATGATTTTTCCCTGATGTCTTTAGCTTCTGTTACCCATTTTCTACACTTCATAATTTCTAATTTATATTGATTGCTATCTACTCCCTCTCTCCCATTTGTTATAAACTGCTCTTTTATTTCTAATTGCTGCCTTCACTTCACCACTGAACCAGAACGGGCTCTCAGCCAGCGCTGCCCTCTTTCTTGATTGTGGAATTGTGGCTTTTTGTGGTTCTGAAATTCTTCTGAAAGAGCTCACCATTTTCATTCACATTTTTCTATCTAAATGTTTCCTCCAAGCTGATTTCACTCATAATTTTCCCCCTGCTTTGGGAAATTAGCCCTTTCAAAGCATGAAGGATATAAATTACTGTTTAGGAATGTCCTTTCTTTGCCCAGGGTGAATGTAATCTGGCCATGATCATCGGTCCCTAGGCAACCTCCAAGTTGCAGTCCAGCAGTGAATTCATCTCTATCCATCATAACAGGGGGGGAAACGAAAGTTGCCTGCACTGGATGCAATGACTCTCATACGAAAAAGGTATCGTCTCTGAGTTTAGAAACTCTGTAGATGGTTTATTGCTGGCTGTGAAAAGCATTAGCATGTGTCTCACAAAGTGATGTCCTCTTGAAGCCTGTGTGACACCACAGATACCCAGGCTGACTCTCTGGTCCCCAACAGACACCACTGCTCCCCACTCCTGTGCCTTCACAGTGAGCATAGGAACACTCGGAAGCATCCCAAGTCTTTTTATATCAATGAGCATCAATCATTTCTGATGCTGCCACATTGGTTTGAACCATTTTAATGCTTCTGTGATTGTTCCCAGTAACAAAAAAGGATCAGAGGAAAGACTCTCTCCTTCCAGCCCCAGTTTCTCCTAAGCACATCTGATTTTAGAGCCAAGCATACCAAGGGGAGAGCGGTGGGCATGGCACAGATAACAGGCTGAAAGGCACTTGTCCCCATGATGCACCGTGACAAAACCACCCTTAAAAGCAGCAGATGAACCAAACAGAGCAGATGGCTTCTCCTCATTCACCTGCTCCCTGCCTGCCATCAGCATCGGTATTTCAGGTCCACAGCAAGTGTGGAAGGCAGGGGAGGATGCCCCAGCAATGGCATGCTCCCACGGAGCAGCCAGCCTGGCTCACACCCCCAGCAACTCCCAGCAGCCAGACAGTGGTGAGAGGGTGACAAAACACGGTGCCACATCCCCATCCAGCCATGCCAGGTGTGCCCCCAGCTCTGCTCACCCTGCAGACCAGCTGCAAGGACACAAGGAGGGCCTTGGGAGAGCCAGTGGCCATTACCCCTTTCCAGGCAAGTCCTGCTATCCCCACCAAGTGTCTCCATCCAGCCCAGCACACCTTTCACTGGGGCTGCTGGTGCCACTCCCCACTACTCCCCTTTGCTGAACACGGGAAGGCTTGCACTGCTCCTTACCTCAGCCATGAAGTTCTGCTGAAACATCTCCTCCTGGAAGGGCTCTGTCCGCAAGCGGTCTGCAGGGGAGATCAGGATCAGCCTGGGCAGCTCTGACCAGACCTCCCACAACAGCTTCCCCTTCCCCTGCCCATGGGGTGAGGGGGCTGCAGGGGAACAGCTCCAGCACGCTCATTCCAGAGTCAGCAGGAGAGCCCAGCAGGCCCCTTGGCCTAGGGACGCATCCCCCGGTTAGCAGAATGTGCAAGGACCACTGGGATGTGGGACAATAAGGTTGAGCCTGTTGATGTACACAGCAGCCAGATAGCAGAGCCCAGAGCCCATTCACACCTGTCCCAGCCCCCTCTTGCACAGCAGAGCAGGGGACAGTGGCAGGACATGCTCAGTACTATTCCCAGATCTTACAGCTTGAAAGAACTGCCTGGGTCTGAGCACCATGGGACAGGGGACTGCTTGTCTCCAGCTGCTTTTCTGGAAGGGTGAGACAGCCTGCGGCCTCCTCTCGCAGGACAGGGACAAACCCCTGTTGTAGCTCATTCTGCTCTGCACCTCATTCAAAACTAATTTTTACCCATCATTGCTAAGATGTCTGGAGAAGCACCTGGCCAGCTTTGCTCAGTAGCACTGGTATAAAGCTTCCTCTCAGCTTCTTGCCTTGCCCAGGCAAGGGACAAGAGAGGCCACCTGCCAACCAGCATCAGTCCCTGGACCCAAACTGGGTTGTCCTGGCTGTTCTGAGCTCTGAAGAGCCGGCATGCAGCAGGAGAGAGGTGAGTGTGGCTGGCTAACACAGCTCTAGTGCAGCTGCAGGGTAGATCCAGGCTCCTGTGGTGGGGTATCTGCCATGGGTCAGGGTCTGGACCACATCACCTTCCTGGCCATGATACACAAGTCAGGGCTGCCCCCCATCAGATCCCACACCCTGGAGGGGGCAAGGTTCCTGTGGAAAGGCAGTGGGACAGAGCATGGCACTAGCAAGGGATGACCGGAAAAACAATGCCCAGCCAAACTTCATGGGCGGCGGACAACCCACATACACAAGGTGACTCCCCCAGGCAGATCCTGACCCATGTCCTCCCCAAGGGGGCTTCTGCCCACCCTTTCCACGTGATGGTGAGGTGGGCTGGGCACTGCAGGGGGGCCCACACTCACGGCTGCGCTTACCGCGGCGGGGAGAGCTGGGAGCCCCTGGTTGCTCTCCAAGCGCTCGGCGAGCTACCGTGCTCGGGAAGGGAGCCTGACACCGCTCCAGGGCCAGCCCTCGCTGGCATCCCCGCCAGCTCCTGGGGAGCAGCCAGGTGCTCTCGGCAAAGTGGAGAGCCCCTTGGCGACTCCCCAACAAATCCAGCTACTGGTCAGGGACTGTTCCTCCCCCAGCTCTCCCCAGGGGCTGCTCCCCAGCCTTCTGGCTACCGTCTCACTGCCGGCGCAGCTGAACATGAAACACAAGCCTGGCTGGGTAATAGCCAGAGGGAGCAGAGCATGCCAACCCTGTGCTAAGGAGGAAACTCACTCCCTGCTCACTCCTCTCTTGGCCTTGGGCATCCCTCCTCACCTCTGCTGAGAGTGGCCCCACTCTCCCTGTAGTCTTCGATCTCAGCATCTTTCTGGATCAGCAGGGAGGTCAGCTCCTGCACCTGGTACTGAAGTGCCAGGCTCATCCGAATCAGGGGCCGCACAAGGTGACGGGACACCTAGGATGAAGAAGGGATGCTCTAGGGAAGATCCAGGGAGGCACACAGCTGTTCACAGAGCACTCAAAGCAGGGCAACCAGCAAGGCTCTAGCAAGAACTGCACCCTAGCTTACTCATGGCTCCCCAAAATATCCCACATCTCACCCAAATCCAGTGGGAAGCAGTCAAAGAACATGAGCTGAAAGAAGGGAGACTAGATGGTATGGGACACATCTCTCCATTCTAGCCCCATCCTTTCACATCTGGGGCTGCAGCAGGGGAGATTTGGGGTGGGAGAGCCCAATGGGGATAGGGTGGAGCAGTAGGCAATGCTCCATCCACCATTTGGGGTGCAGCAGGAGGCAGAGAGGGCTGCATGTGCCACCTAGATCCTCCCCATAGCTCTGTGCACCCTATGGCATGTTCCTATGCAGGGAACAGGCACAGCTGGATGAAAAACCAGAAGGACCTGAGGTGTCAAACTGCAGTTTGAGGAACAGGAAAGACTTTCCCAGGGAGGTGAGCTCAAAAGCAGAAGGGATTCCAATGTGCAGGACACGCACAGCCTGTAACTCCCCATCCGCAGCCCACTGTGCCCACCCTTAGCTTACGGCTGCACAAGCTCCATGCAGAGCCCTGGGCACATCCCCTGCCCTGAAGCGAGGCTGGGCCACCCGGCACAAGAAGCAGGCTCCTTCCCATCACCTCCTTCAACCCCTGAGAGGGTGTTTGGGATCCCCCTGCCCCAGCATGGCCCTTGTCTTTGTGGCCAGGCTGAGCCCTCAGGTGAGAGGGCAGCAAACCCAGCATTGCTCATGAAGCCTCCTTGCTCCTGTGGCGAACTCACAGTGGCCTCTGCGCTCTGCTCACCCTGAGGCACAAGCCATCACCCACCCAAGCGCTCAGAGGGCACCATCCGCTGCAGGGCTGGGACAGGGCAAGCAGCATTGGAGTCCGGCGGAGCTGCTCCCCTGGGTTCTCAGTTTGCGACACTGGGCAGCTTCCCAAAACCCAAAATGTAAGGGAGTCCCGTGGTAAGAGCAGCCCCTTAAAAGCCGGGGAGACCCCACTTTAGTTCCCTCCCTCGCGACATCGAAAGAATCCTGTGGGGGTACTCGCCACTGCGTGCCCCACTTCACGGTGTGCAGCGAAGGAGAATGGCACCGCTCTGCTTAGCGGGGCGCTGGCAGGGCATCACCCCAAACTGAACTGCGCTGGGCAGACCCTGCCTCGCTGCAAGGCACCAACCAAGGTGCCAAAGCCTCAGTGGGAAGAAACTGGGACAGTGAACCTCAGGAGAGGCAGCAGGCAGAGCCAAGCACCCAAGAGCCAACAGCGCAAACTGAGACCACCCAAAAGCCTCCAAGCATTAGGAGACAATCCATAATTTTGGCCCTCCCCCTTTCCAAACTCTCTGCAGCTTTGCTCACCATGTCCACAGGAGCAGGGCAGCAGTGGAAGTCCCAGTACAAGGGCAGTCCTGAGAGATCGCTCTTCAGGTGCAGCTTGAGGCCACTGGCAGTGTGGTGGCAGGAGAAGGAGGTGGCGGTGTCCAGCTGCCCTGCCAGTAAGGGGCACACCAGGTTGCGCAAGCGGTGTAGGAAGGAGGACACGTGGACTGTCAGCCGCTTGTTCAGCTCCTGGGGAAAGGCAAGGTTAGGGGTACAGCAACTCCCCAGGGAGCTCAGCTCTGGGGAAAAAAGCAGCAGAAACTCCAGCACAGAAGGAGCCAAACTACTTCTGAGTGTCTCAGTGCTGCAAAAAGCCACCCCTGGGCCTCAGCTTCCAGCTCCACAACAGGACATTCCCCACTGGTTGTTGCAGGCCAGCCGAGATGGGAAGGCCCCCTTGCCCTGCCAGCCCAGGAGAGTCCAGGTGGTAGGCAGGGTGTGCTGGGCTCCACTAGCACATCTGCCCCACGTGCCACCACAAGTGTCAGAGGCTGGCTGAGAGCTGTCACAGCTCAGCTCACCTGCCAGAGCTGGGGGATGGCTGCCATCGCATGCCCACCCCTCCTGCCACCAGCTGCTCGGCACAGCCCTTCTGTGACAGATGGACACAGTAGGGGTGGCACATGAGGGCCTGGGCACACAGGCTAGGGTGAGGGGATGAGGCATGGCCCCATGTGTTTTGGGGGCTGCGCTGACAGGACATCCCAAGGGAACTTGTGCCTGACTATAAACATGAACAGGAGTCTGTCTGTCACTGGTGGGAAGGCAGCCTTGTTTCAAGCTCTTTCTTAGTACACTGATCCTGGGGAAACTAGCTGCCCAAACAACCCACCAGTGAAATGAGTGTGCTGGCCTCAGCATGCAGCCCCAGTGACCACCTGGCTGCCCTGGGCATGCTAAATAGCCTGGTCCACTCTCCCAGGAGGAGGGTGCTCGGCCAACTGGGGTGAGATCACTTGGGCAGAGCCACCTGGGGGCTTCCCAGGCTGGGCGTTTGTACCCAAGCTCTGTCAGATCTAACAGCCACTGTGTCACCAAGCATTTTATGCTGGGACATCAGCTGTTGAGGAGAAAAGGAGGCCCCTGGACTTTTGAGACACTCACCTTGGACCTTTGTCTCACAGCCTCGGCATCTGCACTCTCGTACCAGACACTGCTGAGGTCAGAGATCAGCAAGATGTAGCCAGTATCCCTGAAGCTTGCTTTGGCAAGAAAAGCAGACTCGCCAAAGCAAACAGAAGCCCAGGGCTGTGTCAAGAGGCTGCTCTCCAGCTCCTCGGAGCCCTCCATCTGCAAGAGAACAACAAGGTCTCTGCCTCACCGCCCACTCAGGAAGAGTCCAGTCCCTGTGGTGGCCTTACAGGGAACCCTCGGTTCCTGCTGGCCCCTCCACGATGCCAGCCCCACCTCGCAGCCGAGGTGAGGATGCTCAGCCAGCTCTGGTCACGCACATCCCTGCACATGCATGCAGCTCTGCTGGGGCGAGCATCTTGGGGAGCTCTGTGCAGGGCAGTTCCTACCCCAGCTCACACTAAGCAGCCCAAATGTACCAGCAGACACACAATAATGTAGCTGCTGCCTCCCCGGCATTATCTGGTGCTTGCTGCCATTAACACAGCAAGACCTCTACGTCTAAATTAATATTTAAACTACCCCTCTGGCAGCGGGACTGGCAGCAGGACACTGCAGCCCTCCTCCTGCTCAGACATCCCATCCCAGTGCCCCATGTGAGCCCCGCGCCGCCTCCTGCCTGCACTGACACAGGCAGAGCGCGGGCAGCAGCCGCGACACCCGCGAGCGCCGCGGCTTCCCGCTCCTCCCGGCGGCAGGCTCCGTGCGGGGACCCATCGTCCCGGGGTGCCTGCAGGACTGCGGCTCTGAGTTACCCAAGGGCAAGAGGAGCCGCCAGGCCAGAGGCTGTCGGGGCGAAGGGCTTCGGGGAAGCGAACGATGCCGGGCCGGAGGCGAGGGCCGGACTACGGGCCCCAGCATGCTGCGCTCTTCCGCAGCACGGAGGGGCTGGGGCATGCCGGGACGCGCGGCGCCATGGGCCACACGTCCCGGGGAAACGGCCATGGCCCTGAGCCCCTCCGCGCCCTGGGAGCGACTGCTCCGGCTCCCTCGCCTGCTGACGCGGGACCCGAGCTGGCGCGGCCCTCTCGAGCTTCCCCAGTTGTCACAGGAGGTGCCACAGCCGAGACACACAAGCGATAGGGACTGAAATGCCTTAAGACTTTGTTTTGTGCTTGCTCCTGTTACGAAACGTTCTGGTACAAGCACCCAGGCGAGGACAGCCCCCGGGCTGCAGGCACGATGGTACAGCCCGGAGAGGCGGCAGCAGCCAGGGGCTCCTGTCTCTTGGCCCCAGGTTTATTCCTCACCCCAGCAGCTGCAGGGTTCCCGTGCAGGCATGGCGCAGGGCATGCACCCGCCCCACTGCTCTCCCAGGCTGGCGCTGGGACTCGGCTGCTGCACCCCAGCGGGGTGCCCGTGTCCCCCACGCCTGGAGCCTGGGCCTACAAGGCGCCACAGAACATGGCTGTGCGAGCCTGGCAGAGGCCACAGATACCATGCATGACCCAGCCTGCTCCACACTGACCCCCCCCATCCTCAGTACCCCACGAATTGCTAACTGTGATCCCCCACCTGCACCCCACGCACTGAGGCCAACCCCCTCACCCATGCAGTGCCCTTCCTTTATCCTCTATGCACACCCTCTCCCTTACCGTGTAGGCTGCAGCCGCCCCAGGGCGGGGCCAGGGGAGGGTGATACCCCCAGAGGCTTTGCATCCCAGGGGGTGCCACGGGAGGTGGGAGCAGACATGGGGTCTGGAGTGCAGGACAGATTGGGTTGTGATGCCAGTTGCGGGTGCAGGAGGTTTTGGGGTGGGGTCCCAGTTGGGCTTTGGGCACAGCGGGAGTGCAGGGAGGGGTTGGGGTGCAAGACCCAGGTGGGGGGCTGGCTGGGTGAGGCCAGACTGTTCTTGGGTGTTGGGGGGCTCCTAGGGACCACGTGGACAGAGCAGCCACAACCTGGAGCTCTGGTCCAGCCTGAGCAGGTCACTCCTATGGACCAACTCCATCATCCTCCCAGCCCAAGTCTGTCCTTCCTTCAAGCCTGCACCCAGGGCCAGCTTGCATCACCCAAGGGTCGCAAGGCTCCAGCCTTTCCTACTGCAGTTCTAGGATTTTGCAGGCCAGTTCAGACTGGTGGAGGCAGCAAGGGGCCCTGCCAGTGGACTCTGAACTGTGGTAAATGCTGGAGCAGCAAGTGAGGCTGGTGCAGACTCTGCTGCAGTCGGCATAACCAACCAGCAGCAGGAAACAACCCAGGTGCTGAGTTTAATCACAAGGGTCAAAGGTGATGTTTTCTTCCCCAGAGAAATCTGCTGCTGGCAGTTCAGCAACAAGGGCAATACCTGGGGGGCAGTTAAGTGGTGAGCACTGCTGGGACCAACCTGCTGCAGGTGAAGGGGGTTCAGTGTTTTAGGGAACTCAGCTGAGCTGTACCCCCAGCCTTGGGGCATCCTGGTGTGCCAGAGCCAGGGCATTACTATATAGGCATTGAGGGCCCATGGTCACAGCTGGGACAGGGCTGTGAGGAGGTGAAGAGCCAGCCCTTCCTGAGCACTGTGTCAGCAGGTGAGCAAAGCCAGGATGACAGCCCTTTGGGGCTGGCCAAAGCACTGAGCCCTTCTCTGGCCACATCCAGAGGGTGATGGTGGGCTTTAGTGGCACCCATATCTCCAGCTGCAGTGGCACAGTGTGGTCATGCCCTTCACAGTCACAGTCTTCAGGGCACGGGGGAGGGTGGGCTGGTATGTCCCAGGCAAGTCCTGGCTGGAAAGGAAACCCCTAGAAAGGTCAAAGTTGGTTGAAGGTTTTTATAGCTCTTTCCCAAGCAGGGGAATGAGGTTTGTGCTGGGAGTGTGGAAGCGCAGGTCCCCTCCAGTCCATGTGGGCTTTAGAAACAAGGAGCACAATGGCTCGCAAGCTGCCTTGGGGGCACAACCCCAGGCCCACATGAGGTGTCTCTGCACCGTGGGGTCAGGCCACAGTGTGCCACATGGGCATCTCTGTCTCACTCTGCCGCCTGGCCAGCTGCAGCTCCCCTGAGCCGGGTTTGGGGAGCAGGTGCGTCCCTTCCCCTGGGGCAGCAGTCCCCTCCTCAGTGGCACAGCTGCCCTCCTCTTCCTTCTCCTCCTCATTCTCCGGGCAGAGGAAGCAGCAGGGGAAGGGTCTGTAGGAGAATGGCAGCAGCCTCCTTAGCCCAGGGGGGAGCCCATATGACCAGCTGGCTTCATCCCTCTCTCCATGAGTGTGGCGATTGCCTGCCTCAGCCTTCTGCAGTGCCAGCTCAGAGAGCAGCCCTCGCTCCTCCAGGGTTCCTGCAAGCAGGGCGGTGGGTAGTGAGATGGGAGCCCCTTCCTCCAACCTCACCCTCCCAGCCTCAGGACTCCCAGCAGGGCTGCCTGGAGGCAGAGCCGGGGACAGTCCCATGGCCAGATCCAGCCCTTGGAGCAGAAGCTCACACAGAGCGCCTAGAGCAGGCCCTCACCTGAGACTGTGTTCTCCAGGAAAAATGACAAGAAGCCAGTTAAGAAGACCGGTACCATGAACAGAGAGAGGAAGAGGACATCCAAAGGCACCCATCCTGTGGGGACAGTGCCAGTATCACCCAGGATGGCCCAGCCCAGCAGCGGGGAAGGGTCAAGAACTGCCACAGCAGATCCAGAGGTTAGAGAGGGAGCTGCCTGCTGACATGAGCCAACCCAGCCTCCCCAGACATCAGAGATGTGTGGTCACCATGTCACAGGGCCTGAGGCTTTGCCTCACCTGGGGAATGTCCCCACTACCTGTGGTCAGGTGAGCTGGAGCCGCACTGAACCACCGCGGCACCAGCAATGCCATGAACATGGTGAAACCGACGATGAAGATGTTCCTTCCTGAGTCGATATCCGCGTACTGGAAGTAGGAGATCCCTGTGCCCACAGCCACAGCATAGGTGACACAGAGCACCCCTCCTGCAAGGGGGCAGGAGTCAGGCAGTGCCAGGCAGGCTACAGGCACCACAGCACAGGGGAAGGGCAGGGTACCCACCATGAACTGCCAGCGGGATACGGGTGAGGAGCCCTGCCAATCTCGGGGACATGCCCAGCACCACACATGCCAGCGCGCTTACTTGCACCGAGAGGAGAGAGCCAGCCTGGCAGAAAAGACAGAAAAGCGAGGATAGGGAGCATCACCCCCTACTCTGTCCCCCTATCCAGCCATACAGACCCACCCCTTCACAGTGCTGGCTCAGTGACAGCCTGGGTGCTACAGGTCCCCCACACCTCCTGCTCCACTGCCTCCCATTCCTTGCAGGCCTTCCTCCACTCCACCCCAGGCATACCTGCGTGAGGCCAGTGGCGCAGGCGTTGGCAATGCTGGTGGCTGTGCCCCCCGGGGTGCCCAGCAGCCCTGCCAGGAGGCTGCCCAGCCCTTCCATGCAGAGCCCCCGGTTGCAGGCATGGGGGGGCAGCCGGGGGGCTCGCAGCAGCCTCCCACACAGCACGTAGCAGCCCACCGAGTTCATGCTGCAGTTGATGGCCATGGCAATGCCCACTGCCAGCACCCGAGGGGTAAGCAGCGGCCACCCCCACTCGCCTGTAGTGGGGGGAGAAGGTATGGGTGATAGAGGCCCTGGCCAAAGGCAGATGGCTGCACCCAGCCCTGCTGCCCCCCACCTGCATAGGGGATGCGGACCCAAGGGCCATGGAAGGTGCTGTTGGCCCAGGACAGCTGTGCCATGGCCAGGTCCAGTGATTCCCAAGGGATGTGGAGGTGGCTAAGGATGGCACAGACAACGCAGACACCAGCAAACGGGAGCAGTACCTGCAAGGCAGCAAGAGGACCCTCAGCCTGGGACCCTCCTCCCCTGTCCAGCACCCCATCTGCTGTGCCCCAGACAGCAGGTCCTTGTCCTACCACCTCTCCCAGGGAGCCATATCACATCTCCCTGAAACCCTGCAGGGAGCATCCTGCTCCAGCACCCTCTCTGCTGCTCCAACACCCTCAAGTGCAGGTCTCCTGCACTCCCCCAGCAGCACCCACACCCTGGGAGCTGCACCAGCACTTCTCACCCCTGTCTTTGCTGCCAGCATCCAGCTCTGCTCCAGGGCCACTAGGTCCCACCTAACCCCACACTAAGGGAGAAGCCTGGGCACAGCAGAGGGAGCAGGGGCAGACAAGCCACAGTACCGAGAATGTGCGCAGGGTAGGGACAGACAGCTCCATGGAGTGCCCCCGAGCCTGGGGCCAGGTGCAGAAGGGCAGACAGCAGGACCCCAGGTGCTGGGAGAAGGTAACAGTGAGGAGCATGAGCCTAGGAGAGGGAGCACAGGTCACCATGCAGCAGTGATGGGGCCCCAAACATGTGCAACACACCATGAGGAGGCCCCACTTGTGTCCCGACAGCAAAGGGGCTGCACACCAGTGTGGCCCTCAGGCTCACATACAGCAGCGCTATCCCCCAGTTAGTAGAGCAGAAGAAAGCAGCCTCCTTGTATGTGGACAGCCCAATGATGGAGAGGCTAGGGGCCAGGACCATGGGCCCACAACGCTGGGCTGCCCATCCACACACACCAGATACTCCCAGTGCCAGCTGAACCAGCCCAGAGACCAGCACGGCTCCAGAAACCTGCAGGAGGAAAGGATAGGACCCATGGGGCAGAATACATGGAGAGCAGCCCAACACCTCTCCTTCGCCACACTCCCACAGCCCCAGCAGCATCACTTGTTCCCCATGCTCTGCTCACCCCAGGCCCAGGGGAACATGCACCCACACACACCATGAACCCTGTTGCCTTTGCACATCCCCTTGTACCTCGTTATTCATGGCAATCCCCAGAAGAGCTGGAAAATGGACTAGAGGTGCAGGGACAGGGTGACAACTGAGGTGTTGGTAGAGCAGAAAGATGGGGACCCCCCAGGGCAGTGCAGGATCACCCACCTCTTGCAGTGAGGCAGCCCGGCTGTCTGCAGCAGTGCAGTGGGGTGCAGGGCAAGGACTGGCCACCACCGTGCCTGGAAGGGAATTTCAAAGGGATATGACACATGTAGATGCTGGGGTCCTGGAGCTGGGTCCAAGAGCATGCAGGACAGTCTGCTGGCTGGCTAAGGGCCAGTGTGCCAGCACCCCCATAAGCCCTGTCCCTGGGGAGGCAACCAGATGAATTGTGAGTGCACTCAGGGGTGAGTAGGGTGCTGTGCACCATCACCAGAGGGGCCAGCAGGCAGGACCCCTTGCTATCCCTCATCCCTCCTTTGTGTGCCAGGCACCTCGTCACTGCTGTTCCCCTGGTGCTGGCATGGCCCGGGCCCTGTGGGACGCAGGTTCCAGCGCTGTGCTCACCGTTCCTGTCCATGTCGTCACCCAGGGACAGGTGGGAGCTCAGCACCATGGCAGGGACCAGGTACTCGAAGGATGGGATTTGGACCAGCGGCAGCCTGGGGAAGGGGACAGCAAGGGCATGTTAAGGAAGGAAAGAGGGGACAGAGCTGCTCTCAAAGCCCTGGCTGCCAGAGGAACAAGGGATGGGAAGGGAAGGAGATGAGAACCCCAAAGTGGCAGGAGGTCACCTCACATCCCAAATATGCCCTAGTACATCCTAAGCGGCAGGACACAGGCTGTGCGCAGAGGTCAGGGGCTTTGTCAAAGCACACGCCTAGCCCGTGTGGGACATGGGCAGCACAGGCACTGGGTGGTCTGGAGGAGCTGCAAATGATGCTGGAGCAAGGCAGTAAGGAACTACAGGGAAAGTACAGCAGTTTTGCTAGAGAGACATGTGAGAGAGGAGGATGCATTGATGGCAGGGAGGGGACAGCTGTACAGAGATGCAGGGCAAGGGGTTGCCCTCATGCCCCTTCCCACCTCCAAGCAAAGCCTATCTTCCCACAGCCTAGGAGGGGGCAGACATGCACTGCCATGGCATCACCCTCCTCCTGGCAACAGCTGCATCCCCTTTGCCCCCCATGCTCACCGACTCCCCAGGATGGTCTGCAGCACTGTGGAGATGCCGCAGGAAAAGAGGCTGCGTGCCAGCAGCTCGCTGATGGCCTGGGCATGGGGCGGCTCCTTGGGCAGTGTGGGCAGCAGGAGGAGGTGGAAGACACAGAGCAAGGAGGCCTGCACGGCCAGGTGCTGTGCGAGGAAGAGAGGGGGTGCTCACGACTCCCTGCAGCACCCAGAGCTGCAGCCCCCTGTGCCCAGCCCCCCTGCGTGGATCCCCAATTGCTCACTGACACCCCCCAGGCAGCATCCACCACTGCCCACTCCCCTCCCAGCACACCTTGGACAGAGCCCCATGCACCCCTTGCCTGGCAGGATGCGGCCCCTGCCCTGCCACCTGCAAGGATCCCAGCCCTCTTCCCCATCACCCCATCTCTCTGGCCTCTCACCGTGGTCCCCCCCTTACCTGAAGGGCTAAGCAGCAGCTCAGCATCAAGGAGCACATCTTCTGCAGGGAGCAGGATGCAAGCACAGGGGTCCTGGCACCAGGCGTTCCACGGTGGCCCCCATTCATGCTGCTGCCTCCCCACACTGCTCCTGTTTGCAGAGCAGAGGGGATGGACAGATTCCCCCTCCACACCTACTCCCCAAGGGCTCCTCACAGCCCTCACACAACTGAACTTCCACCTTCTGCAAGAGCTGCCCCAGGGTTAGCCATTAACTCGAGTTGGTGAGTAACCTGCCCTTGCAGCCAGGAATGCAAGTGTCACCCTGGGTTGTCACCACAAGGGCCAGGTGACAGCCACCCACAGCCAGGACTTCGACACTGGTGCAGTGCCAGCTGCCCACAGCCCAAAACCCCTCTCTGCCTCTTGTAGTACACAGGGCAGGGACCAGGCAGGCCACAGCACAGACACCTTTTCCTTCATGTGCTTGGAGCATCCCCTCCAGCAGCATCCTACAGCTCCAGCGTGCCCTGCCCATGCTTCTTCCTCATCAGTACCACATCCCCCTGCCCTCCTGGTCCAGCCCGTCCTCACCATCAAGCCTGAAGAGTCTGTTACAAGCTGCACAGATCCCTCCCAGGTCCTGCCATTCCCCTGTGGGCACTGTGCCCACACCAGGATGGGGGGGTCTGTGGTGTGTGTGTCTACCACATCCTCCATGCTCCTAGGAGAGCACTGAATCCTGCTGCTGCACAAGGCTGCCAGGGCCAAGAGCTGCCCACTTGGCTAGGAAGGCTCCCAAAGGAGCACAGGCAGAGGATGCTCAGGTGTTTGTCCCAGGGCAAAGATGGCTGTGCCAGCAACCACAATGGTGACCCTGCCAAGCCCTTGCTGCTCAGGGCTCACTCATTAACCGGACAGACTTTGGAGAGCAAAGAGCAGTAGAGACCACGCATTCCCAAGGATGAGGAACTTCCTCTTTCCTGCTGCTCCTGCCTTCCACAGGCACCAGACCCGATGTCCCTCCTGTCACCAGGCATCACAGTGCTCTTAGGCAGATCCTGCCTGCTGCAAGCGAGCCCTGCAGAGCAGCTCAGAGAGCTTCATTGATGGGGTTCTGCAGAGGGGGAGGTACGCTGCCAGACAGAGCAGCTCAGCAGGACAAGGCAGGTGCACAGCAAGAACTACTTTTATTGGAAGAGATTTTGCATCTACAAAAGAGTGAAAAAACAGGTGTAAAATCCACAGTAAAAAGAAGGGGCATGATGAGCTGGGCTGGTCAGCAAGACAAGGTGCCTTCTCTCTACCCTGACGAGCAGTCAGGCACTGTTTGCTCACAGCCACAGACAGCTAGGGTTTGGGATGGGGTCACAGAACACCCCAGTTTCAAAACACTCAGCACAAGCAGGATAAGGAAGCTCAGTCTTAACCACACCTCACCACCTCCAAGCCCAGCAGGTCACAAGCCACATCAGGGTGGTGTGACCCTTGCATCTCCCAAGAAGCTGCCTGGCAGCCCCCACTGGGAACTGCTGCTATGGCCAGCCAGCTCAGGCTGCTCACTGCTCCCTCCTTCAACCTCCTCTCCCCTAAACCAGGCATCCCACTCCCCCCCGCACTGGGGTCACTGCCCCAGCCCTTCCACCCTGCACACACACACAGTCCCAGCATCCTGCATCCCACACTCCACCTCTGCCCAGCACCACCAAGGGCCACCTATTCACTGTAGGAAGAAGTCCAACACGCCCCTTGCCCTAGCACCCCATCCCAAGGGCACCCCATTTCTACCCTCCAGCACCACAAAAGCAAGCCAACTCTGCCCCAACCTGTCCCAGCAGCCCTAAAAGTGACAGACACTCCTGGGTGGGGAGACACAAATGCTGGTTTGGAAGTAACGCAGGAGTCTCCAGCCCCATGCAGCCCCAGGGATCAGGGGTCCCAGAAGTGCAAGGAAGTTGTGCCACACTAAGAGGGAAGAGGAAAGGGGCTGCTGCCCCATGCTCCTAGCTGGGAAAAATGAAGCTCATGATTCTACTAAGATCCATGGCAGTGTGCAAGGAGCACTGGCTCAGACCCAGGGGTTCCAGCCAGTCCTTGTGACTAGGGGCTGCATCCCATGTGGGGTCCGCAGCAGCTGAGCAGGCATGGCAGTGGAGTGCTGGAGGAGCGGGGAGCACGGCGAGTCTGGAGGGGCCAGGCTGGCCGGAGGCAGTACAGTTAGATCTCTCACAAGCGGTGGGTACTCTCCGGAAGGGGCCTTGCGAAGGGCTCCTGTGTTGGGCTAGATCAGGTGCCTTTGGGTAGGACAGAGCAGTCATCACGCTGCCCCACAGGTAGAGTGCAGTTGCTGTGACACCCCCACGATGTGGCTCCTCCATCATCTTGTTATCCTGCAGGCAACGGGCACTGCTGGCTGGAGAGATGTCGGGCAGCCCAGGCTGAGGCTGGTCAGAGGCTGGGGCTGGCTGGTCAGCCAGCTGGCAACTGCCCTCCTCAGGGAACAGCACAGGCCGGGGGGCCGCAGGGCTTACACTCCTCATGCACACAGACCGGTGCACCACAGTGACGGAGGTGAAGACAGCCGCAAAACCGGTCAGGTACACCACACCCAGGAGGCAGGCCAGCTGCAGAGAAGCCAATGGTTAGCCCAGACCTCCCCCCCAGCAGCTCCCACAGCCAGCTGTGACACAGCATGGCCATGCCCAGCCGTGAGAATAACTGGCATCACTACTAACAGATGCCAGGGAGCAGGCAGCCACACAGCTACCAGCACACAGCCTGGTCAAAGCAGAGCCTAAATACCACAAACCAAAATGCCCCAATGAAAACTGAACCACCAAAGAGTTCCTGTTTGAATCCCCAGACAGCAACCAGTTCCCTCCATGCCACCATGAATTGTGGGGCTGTGGTCCAGCACAAGACACAGACTAACCCAGCCCCAGGCTGCAGCGCCTCAGGCAGCACATCAGCATCTTCTGGCTTCTGACAGTTTCCCTTTCCAACAGGAAATAAAACAAGATGCTGCTCCCAGTGGAAGAGAGTCCTAATCCAAACCCACAGGCTGCTGGGTCCCATGTTCTTGCAAGTAACTGCTGTCCCAGTCCCTTACCTTCACCACTTGCTGGTAGAACTGGCCCAGCACATGCTGCCACATGGACTGCTCCATGAGGACACATAGATCTGTGTAGGTGAACCAGCCACGCCACATGCCCTGCTTTTCTGCCACACTGCAGGAAAAAAACAAAGGGAATGGTAGATGTGGCATGGACCTTCCCCATCAGAGGCTTCACTCCAGGCAGGCTTGGAGAAGACCCTGCTCAAGGTCTGTGGAAGGGAGCTGCAGAGCCTAGCAAAGGCTCACCGATACCGCAACCTTTTATTTCACTGCAGCAGGGCTAGCTCCAAGCAGGGGCAAAGCTAGGGCTGCAAGGTAGATGAAAGGCTTACCCCCACTCCACACACCTACCGTCCTTCCAGCCAGCTCAGCACTTCAAACAGCTCCCGGGGATCTGTGTAGAGACTCCAGTCCTGTGGGGACAGCAGTGAAAGGTCAGCAGAGTCAGGGCAGGCCATCCAGCACCCAGACACATCCTTCTCTATTCTGTCAGGGGAGTATGTGGGGGAAAAACAGAAACCCAGACCCCCCTCAACACCTCTTTTCCCCCACTCTGTGAAGTAGTTGGCCAGAGTGACAGCCCCACTTACAATGGCGCTCAGGAAGTTCATCTCCAGTGTGTTCATGGTCTGGACATCCACCTTCCCTGCTGCTCCCCACTCGTCATTGAACACCTCCTCCTCCTCACCCTCATCATACAGGTACTTACTAGCAACCATCTAAAAGCAGCACAAAGGACAGGATCTCAGTCCTCCCTGCATTCCTCTAGGCCTCCCTCCAACCCAGTGACCCCCCCTAAGCCCACACCGCTCACCATGGAGATCAGGAAGAGGTCTGAAGAAGAGATCTGCTGGAGGTATTCAGGGTTCCGGTGCCGAAGTCTCTCAATGTAAACCAGTGCCAGCATCATGGAGCAGGGTGAGATGCAAGCTTCCCTATGAGACAGAACAAGTAGCAGCTCAAAGGTTATCTATGTGCTTCAAACATCCCAGTCACCATAGCAGAACTTGGCTGCTCCCTCCCCATGTAGGTAGCAGAAGGGTTTAGTAAATAGACAGCTAGATACATCCCATCCTTGCCAGATCCATGCTAGCTGTCCTGAGCTGCAGCAAGATAAAGCACAAGGGATGCAGGGTGGAGAGCAAAAAATCCTGGTTCCTGTTCCCAGGCACAGCCAGCTCCAAACTGACCAGCCCTGTCTGCAGCCCAGCATGCTGCAAGGGCTTGGCTGCCAGGAGCAGACCCGGGGTTCAGACCTGGCTACCCAGTGAGCTGCAGATCCAGCCAGTAAAGATTCCCAGTAACAAGAGCACCCCTGCACCCCAGAGAGCAGAATGAACCTCAAGTGGGCCTGACTGGAAGTCACTGTGACTGCTGGCCTTGCCACCTGCCCCCAGCTCCTCTTTGACAATAATCAGTCCTAAGCACAAAGGCAGTGCTGGCCCAGGGGACAGAAGTGAGTCATAGGTGAGACCAGAGCTCCTAGTTCTGACATGAGACATGAAGGGACAGGTTTTGCTTCTTACCGAGATACACGAGACACATATTTCTTCTGGAGTCTGCGGATAGGGCTGGGAGCCACTTTCTGTAGCAATTCCACAGCAATATCTAGGAGAGAAAAATCAACAAAAGGGTTTAGCCCCACATGACACAGTCCACTCCCACCCTTCCCCTTCTCCCCACAAGCCCATTGTTTGCTCAGCCCCTCAAAATTTAAACTATGAAGGTAAGACAGGCTTTATCCAAAGTCATGGATGAGGGAGGAACAAACAAATAGGCATGACAGCCAGACCAAAGCAGGATGAGGATGAGAGTGTACAAGACCCAGCAGCAGTGTCAGATCCAGATTAGCTTGTCTGCATCACAGGGAATTACTAGCAGTCAGCTGCAGCGAGGCTAACGCTCTCCCTTCACCCCAAAGGACCTCAAGCAGCCCTTTTGGAGGCTTTCTAGGACCCGATGCCAACATCCCATCTTCCCAGTGCTTTGCTCCCTTCTAACAAGCATCCTCCTCCTCTTCCAGAGCTTATCAGCACTGATCCAGCTTCCCCTAGACCACAGCCCCAGAGATGATTATGGACAATGTATTCATGTGAGCAGGAGCCCAAAAACACTAATATGGTATGGAAGCAGCAATGTGGTATAATTGCAGCTGATCTCAGCCCATTTCCCCCACACTTAAGAACTTGCCTCAGCATTCAAGCACTGAAAAGGCCAGAGACTGACAGATGCTGGCAGATGGCTTCAGCAGTTCCTACCTCACTTTCCAATGCAATAGGGCCAGCTGGGAGCATCCCAAACAGCATTACAGTCTGGTGCTTGGCAAGAAATGTTTGACAAGCAACTCTAGCTCCATTTTTTGCTTTTTTTTTTTTTTTCACTCTTGGTTGATGGAGTTAAGTGCAGAGCTTGAACCAGCAGCCTTGTGTTTCCAGCTCCCAGGGGAAGCATTACCCCACTACCTCTTCTCTCCACATGCCTCTTTTCCATGCCTCCCCAGCAGCTAAGAGAACAGCTGCAGTCCCACAGGAATTATTTGCCCAACAGCAGTCACCAAACTCAGAAACACACTGTTTGAAGGGACTTCCCTAGGTCATTCAAGCCACAGCACCACTAGGATCCACATCCAGGCAGACACACCTCCAGCCTCTCACATTGCTGCTGCTCTCTCTGCCCTGCTTGGCCACCCTTGTACCACAACACCCACCACTGCAGAGGCAGCAGTGATGCCCTGAGTGATGGAAAGTGAATGAGGCCACCCAGGCTCTGTCCTGACATGAGACTTAATTCTTCAAGCCACAAATCCAACGCATGACAACATGTCCTGCCCTAGAGGGCACAGAGAGCAGCTGATCATTGTCTCCATCTCACAGTCACTGCACGCTGAGTGTGGTTATGGTTCCTCCTCTCCAGAAGGAAGAAATTAACTTTGTAACCTCTCACCTCAGCCAGCCCCATATTGCCTCCTGATGCCAAAGACCACTTCCAGGTCCTCCTGCTACTCTGGACTCTCCCCACAATTGCCTTTATCTCATCTGAAAATCAGTGCCATAAACTCAACATGTAGGAACAGCACAGCTGTGACAAGACAGATGCCATAGTCCTAGGTCCCACTTTTTGACAGCAGCTGGTGAAGGAAGGCTGTGAGAACATATAAACCCACAGAGATATTCTGTGCATCACTCTCACCCCCAGCTCCAGGAGCTGAGGCATTTCCTGGGTGCAAGGCAATCTTTATAGTTAATAGCCCTCAACAGTCTTCTCCCATGAATGTGCCCTTTGAACTTTCAACACTAGTAGCGTCCTGTGGAACAGTTCCATCTCGCATCCGGGTGTGACACCAGCCCCAAAGACAAGCCACATGCTTCCCTTGCACCACTCATGTCAGAACTCATGACTCCCAGCAGCGTGCAGGCAGCTGGCTGCCCTGCCTGGCCCTGCTCCATCACCACACGCCCAGCATCCCCCTCCTCGCTGAGGTATGTCACACACAGCCTCTTGGCAACTTCATAACATTTCCCCAAATCTACCACAAGAAATCTGAATGCAAGCACACTGCTCTATCCACTCAACACCCTCCTCAAGCTGTGTGAGCATGCGGTTAACACTAACACAACCGCACTGTGAAGGCCCTCCAGCAAACCACTGCATGCCCTTGACCACTCCTATCCACTATCACCTGCACCAGATCCCCAGCCTCAACCCAGATGCATCTTCCTGCTTCCCCAAACACAACTGAATCAACAGGGAAAAAAAAAACCTGCAATCCAGAAAACACACAGCAAGAACTTGTTCCCTTGGTGCTCATAACTAGAAGTTAAACAAACTCCCCAGTGCTTTGCAGAGCACAAGAAGTTGTCCAATACACCTTTCATCAGGGACAGGGACACAACTTTCACTGCCAAAGAATTCACAAACAACCTAAAGGACTCTGCACACCAGCAAGGTGCCAAAAATGCAGCAGTAGGCCAGACAGGGCAATAAAACAGAGAGCAGGAGCCATGAGGCTCTGGCGCCCTGCCTGCTGCGTTGTGCGGAGCGAGGAAGGCTGGGCAGGGGTGGGATTTGGCGCTGAGGGAGGAAGCGGCTGACTTGCTGGTCTCAGCCCCTGGGCTACTTCCAAACCTCTTGACTCAGCATTCCCATCTGGGGACACTGAGCAACCCACCTGCTACAGGGCTGGACAGATTATCCAGGCTGCAGTCTTTGTCCCAGCCATAATAGAGCCGCTTCCGCACTCTCTCGCTCAGCTGCTGGTGTCTGGGCAGGAACTGCGGGCAGACAGGGGAAATGTGAGAAACGCCCTGAGTGCTCCCCACCCCATCTTAGGGGTACACCGGGCCCGGCACAGCCCCCAAGCACCCAGCCAGGGGCCCGGGCGTGCGGGCACACGGCGCTGCCCACGGCCAGGGACTAGTGGGGAGGGGGGGAACGCCCCAGCCGCCGGGCGGGGACAGGGAGGGCCAGGGACACCGGGCACCACCAGAGGTGCCCCAGGGAGACTCACCGTGAACTCCTGGAACCCGCTGAGGGAGAAGGTGCCCTCCTCATCCA